CGCCGCCGCCGCTCCCGCAGGCAGCGCGCGCGCGCCGCCCCCGCCCCACGCGCACACGTCGCCGAACCCCATAGGGCGCCGCCCGCCCCCGCCGCCTCGCTCCTATTGGTCGGCGGAGCCGTCGATCATCCGCCGCTTCCCGCTTCCGGGAGGGAGGGGAGAGCGGGCGGCCCCGGGCCCCGCCGGACGGGGAGCGACGGGATTGGGCGGCGGTAATTGGGGGGTCGGTGATTAGGCACGGTACCGGGGGGGGCAGATCGCTGCGGAACCGCAAGAGGAAAACCCTCCTGGGGAGGGGAGAGGAAGAGGAGGGAGTAAAATCCTTCCAGATCGGCAAAACCGGGGTAAAATAACGAGTAGAAATGGGGGAACGGGAGAAGAAACTCAGGCCGGGGATGCGAGCTGGTAATTCCGGATTTGCCGGGAGGATATAGGATAAAAATCTAGATTTGCAAGAAGGATAAATCATTCTGGAACGGCAAAGATATATAACATCCTCGGGATAAATAAATTAACGGCCAGAGATTCTAAATTCAAAAGAATAAGATGATAAAAATCATTCCGGGGGGGGGAGAATAAGAGTTCTGTTATTAGAATTGCGAGAACGAGATGAAATCACCCCAAACTGGCAAGGATCAGCTCGAGGGCTGCGAGAATGAGAGGTGATAAAATCAATCCTTCCGGATTTGCCAGAATAAATTCCTTCCGGAATCACGAGCAGCAAATTAATTCCCCAAGTTCGGGAATGATGGTAAAGAAAATCTCTCTGGAATTGCGAGAATAAGGTAAGAAAGTTAATTCTAGAGCTGCAGGGATGGTACGTAATAACATCATTGCAAAATAACAGAAATAATCTGTAATAATTCTACAATTGCAAACAACTGCAAGAATTACTCTGGTGGCTCTGTCCCCGTGAGACCTGGTGACACGGTGACACGTGACACACCATGGGGTGCTCCTGGGACCCCACGGCTCCGCTCCCCACCCCAGGAACCCTGAGGTTTCCTTCAAAAAGCTTTACAGACCTGGTGGCCGTCCCCGAGCTGTCCCCGGGGGCCTGGACCCAGCTGTGGGATGGTGGAGGTTGGAAGGGACCTTTCAGATCATGGAGTCCAACCATCAACCCAACACTGACAAACCCACCACTGACCCATGGCCCTCAGCACCACGTCTACAAGTCTTTTAAATCCCTCCAGGGATGGAGATTCCACCACTGCCCTGGGCAGCCTCTTCCAGTGTGTGACAACCCTTTCCGTGAAGGAATTGTTCCCAATCTCCAATCTGAACCTCCCCTGGAGCAACTTGTCCCATCCTGTTGTCCCATCGCCTGTTCCTTGGGAGAAGACACCCCTGGCTACACCCTCCTTTCAGGGAGTTGCAGAGAGCAAGAAGGTCTCCCCTCAGCCTCCTTTTCTCCAGGCTGAACACCCCCAGCTGCTCCTCACAAGACTTGTTCCCCGGAGCGAGCGGCACCTCATTTCCAATACTAATTTCCATAAATTTAAGTATTTCTTGCCCCAAGAAGGCAGAGCCAGATCTAACGCCTTGCACAGCCGTGGGGAAAACTCTGGCAACTGAAACACCGTCCGGTTGGTTGGGATAATGGAGTTTCCCCATCACACAGTAATGTAGAGATAAACACTAAAGATCCCAAAGTGCTGGGATAACGCAAAGTGGCATCGACACAGCACAATTAGGCTAATTAACAAATGATCAGATCTGCCACTTGCCCACTTAACGTTTAACAGAAGGCACCGTTTAACAGAAGGCACCGGTGCGATGCTCCTGTGCTTTGGACACGTTTTTAATGAGTTTCACAACTTGACCTTGGCTTTGCGCGAGGCGGCGAGTTCCACCCGGGCACGAGGGGCAGCCTTCAGGCCAGGCATTAAAAAATAATAATAATAATAATAAAAAAAAAAAGGGTAATCATTAAAAGAGAACTTCTGGGATGCGGCTGCCACCGGAGAACTTCCCCCTCCTGAGCCAAATGTATGGAGAGATGGTCCATGGTGACCGTGAGACACCAAGAAAATGAAGTCACCTGGAACAGATTCCCAAGGGATACTGCAGACCCCTCCATGAGCCTCTTGTCTCCATCTTTCCTTGGAAGCTGGGAAAGCAGGGGGTTTAGAGGTCTCTTCCAGATGTTGGACTTCCATGGAGACGGCGAGATGGCAACCTGCCTTGCTAGAAGGTGCTCTGGGACTAAGGCAGCCATGGCTGGGGAGGAACCCCCCCAGAGCCCCACCACCCTCCTCCACGCTGGGGCAGCTGCTGGAGTTTCAGAGGATTTAAGGGAAAACGGGTCAGTTTTGGGGGTGACCGCTTCAGAATTAATATGTATACACATTTCCATGGAGACGGCGAGATGGCAACCTGCCTTGCTAGAAGGTGCTCTGGGACTAAGGCAGCCATGGCTGGGGAGGAACCCCCCCAGAGCCCCACCACCCTCCTCCACGCTGGGGCAGCTGCTGGAGTTTCAGAGGATTTAAGGGAAAACGGGTCAGTTTTGGGGGTGACGCTTCAGAATTTATATGTACACACAGAGGATTTTAAAAAGAGCAGTACATTTCACTGAATTTCACTGAATTTCAGAGTTGGAAGGGACCATAGAGATCATCTCGTCCAACTCCCCTGCTGAAGCAGGATTGCCCAGAGCTAGAGCATGTTACTCAGGAGCATCCAGGTGGGTCTTGAAAATCTCCAAGGAAGGGGACTCCACACCCTCCCTGGGCAGCCTGTTCCAGGGCTCTGTCACCCTCACCGTGAAGAAGTTTCTCCTCATATTTGAGTGGAACCTCTTCTGTTCCAACTTGTGCCCGTTGCCCCTCGTCCTCTCACTGGGAACCACTGAAAAGAGTCTGGCTCCCTCCTCCTTCAACCCTCCCTTGAGATACTTGTAGGCATTGATAAGGTCTCCCCTCAGCCTTCTCTTCTCCAGACTAAAGAGTCCCAGCTCTCTCAGTCTCTCCTCATAAGGGAGATGCTCCAATCCTTGAATCATCTTTGTTGCCCTTCGCTGGACTCTTTCCAGTAGTTCCCTGTCCCTCTTGAACTGGGGAGCCCAGAACTGGACGCAGGACTCCAGTTGTGGCAAGACATTCCCATAGGAAAAGCCTTTTCCCACCGTTCACCACCTCCCTTTGTGCCGACTCCTCTTCCCCTTGGCCTTTAGCCCCCAGCTGGTCCCTTCTCCCAGCACAGCAGGGCTTGGATGGGACATCACAGCCGAGCCCCTGCAGGTGGAGGGTCCTCCTCCGGAGCACAGCTGGCTCCTGGGAGGGTTCCAACACCCCCACATCTGCAGCCAGAATTCCTCAGGAGTCCCACGGGAGTCCTGATTTCTCCACTTCCCCCTCTCTATCACACGCTCCACCTAAAAGGTTATTTTTCCAGATGATTAATCTTGAGGCTGCCTTCGCAGCGGCACGAACACGGGGCTGTTTCAAACCTCCCCAGGGTTTGCTTTTCAGACACCAGCGTGGAGGGAACACCACACCTGGCCTCCTCCTTCCCAAGTTCTCTGCAGCTGAAGAGCAACGTCAATAATTCATCCAAATCTTCCTGTATTTGCTTAGAAGTTACTGTTTTACAGACACTGTACGAGGGGTCACAGTCCAAGGCATTTTGACATGAGCAGAAAGTTTTAATGACACTCGGTATCAGGGGCCAGTCTTTTTCCAGTGGTGCCCAGGGACAGGACAAGAGGTAACGGGCACAAACTTGAACATAGGAAGTTCCATCTAAATGTGAGGAGGAACTTCTTCACTTTGAGGGTGGCAGAGCCCTGGCAGAGGCTGCCCAGGGAGGTGGTGGAGTCTCCTTCTCTGGAGACATTCACACCCCACCAGGACATGTTCCTGTGCAACCTGCTCTGGGCGGACCTGCTCTGGCAGGGGGGTGGACTAGATGATCTCCAGAGGTCCTTTGTTCCAAGCTGTCTCACTAACCCCGGCCACAAAGCAGCCGACAAGACACGATGTAAGGGCGTGGGGATACTCTCATGTATTTTGGTATCTTCCCCAGGAAAAAGAGCAGGAGCTAATCCCTGGAACACAAACTCTTTAGAGGAAACGTATAAGAAGGGTTTCAAAATTTAATAAGTTGACACAGCGAGCGATTTGAGAATCTTTTAAAAAATGAGAGTTAAGAAACAAACTTATTAAGTCACATATTTAGAAAAGGACATTTCTCGTATCACAAGGAGATAAAACCAAAACCATTTGCTCTGGTAAAAAAAAACAAACAGTGATGCTGGTCCCTGCTTGGAGTGAGAAGGGTAGAACAGAATGTTTGTAAAAACAAGCACCTGGAAATGCAGCTTTGCAGCGCTCACAGCGTGACTTCTTCTGGCAGCAGCTGGAGAGTAAACACGTGGGGAAGAGCCCAGTCCAGTGATAAAGCCAACGGAGTCCTCTCTCAGCAGGGCTCAGAGGCTCACGGGGAAGGAAACGGGTTTGACAGACGCTCTCCCACCTTCTCCCAGCAAGAAGGAACCACTCACGCCACGAAAGAAAGCGAACTGTCACGATACTCCCGACAAAGTCCCAGTAACAGGAAAAAGCAAGCAAAAATACATTCTGAGAAAGATTCGTTCAAGCTAAGCATCGCTCTGAATTCCAACCAAAGAGGTGGAGGAACAGTCATGGCCACCAGATCAGGAGAAGGTGTCCCCTCACTGCAAGACTGACCTTTGCTGTCGGCAAACGTCACGGGTGGGTCACAACCAGAAAACAATTCCAGGCTCCTCCGTCACCGGACAGACCTTGGGGCAGAGCTTTTACTCCCGGTAACAATCACCCGTTGCTCTGCAGGTACCTGTCCAGGAACTGGGAATAGCAGTCTAGGGAACAGAAGTAGCAGATGATGGGGGCTTCCGTGCCTCCCATGTTATCCACCAGCACCACGGTGTGAGCCACGTGATGGAGGTTCATGGTCACCGTGATCTGAATGAAGCTGCTCAGGCAGGCGCCCCCGCACTGGCACGTTTTAGCCACTTCCAGATCTTCACAGAGGTGGGAAGGAAGGAGATGACAACCATAAGGGATTCTGTTGAACGAGAGGAGCAAGTGTGAATTCACTACAAAATTAACCAGTGTCACTCAGACACGGTGACACGCCGTATGCACTGGTTGGAAAAAAAACACACCTTTCTGAGACCATAGATTAGACAAATTTGAAATTTTGCTACTTGGACTGGTTAGAAATTAAATAGCACTCTCCAAGACAGTCGCTGAAAATAGGCAACCATGTTACTGACCCCTAAGTACCAAGGGCCTGAACTCCAGAAGACACCGTGACGGGAATGGGGGAGTTCACACAAACCATACCAGGCTGGACCGCAGCGACAGAGAATGAGAATTAAAAAGATTAAGAATAATGAGAGGACTGGGTGTGCACCTGCTCTTCCCTCATGTTAACCAGGAAGATCAATGTGTTTCATCCCGGCCTGACAACACACCCACAATTGACTCCTCACCCTCTAAGAGGAAGAAGTGGTAGCAGCGTAAAAACACCATACCCAGAGGAAACGGGAGATGCAATCAGCCTTTTTAAAGCAGCCCTACACGGCAGGCAATACATTAAGGTTCTCTTAATACACCGCTCTTGTTGTCCATCGTGTCAACGATGACATCCAGAGACAGGAACAAGAATTGCTTCTTTTTAACTCTGCAGCAGAGCAGCGTTGTGTTTGGGGGACGAAATAAATAGTTTCCCTGAAGTACTTTGGACCAGATGATCTCAAAGGTCCCTTCCAACCCAGACAATTCTACTCTGTGGTGTTACCTTCAGAGCGTGGGTATCGCCGGGGGCAGCTGCCACTCCAGACCGGCAGCCCAGGTCTCCCTGACTCACATCCCCACTACACCTACATATTCACAATCCTTCCTCCATAACCATCATCCACATTGCTAACATTCCTGTGGGCTTTGGGTTTTTTTCCACCACCTCAATTTTGGGTGGTTCAATTTTTTCCCGGTCAGGAAAAGCACCATCTCAGCCCAGAACAACGCTCCGAAAATTGATTTCCAAACGTTCACTTTCGCATCTTCCCTCCTCCTGTTTACTTCTCAAGGTTTTTACAGCCCATCATCACTCCTCTTCCCCATTCTTTTTGGTAATTCTCACATCCAGTGAACGGCAGACAGAATGTCTGTTGCCCACCTGTTAGACATTTTTTTTTTTTTAATTTATTTCTCATTTAAGATAACCAGGAGGACTCTGACCAATGCTCTCTCCTAATAATCACAGGCCCGTGGGCACGGGGACTGTTTCCATGACCCCCTGTCTCACTAAGGCTCCTGGAGCCTTTTTTGCTCTGTGTGGTGGGATTTTCCAGGTATTGTTAGGTAGCAATTGAGCACCAAACTCTGACCAGTGTTGATGGTTTTTATTCTCTAGAAAAAAAAACAACAAAAACACAACCCATGCCCTGATAATAGTTATATCGAAACCATGGCAATTTCTACAGAGTTGGGAAAGGAGACAGGTGGAGTTTAATTACTGCAATAAAATCAGCAAGGTCAGGAGTGGGTAAGTTCTGCAGGAGGATGTTTGGCCACTCAGCCCCTTCCCGGGGTGTGCCCCACGTGCCTGTGGACACCTTTAGCACAGGCTTCCTGGCAATTAACCCAGGTTTATGGGGCCCTCCCCACCCCCAGGGCAGGAATGGGCACAGAAGGTTGATTAGGAACATCTCCAGTCTGTCTCTCACCCCCTTTCTGTGACTCTCTTTCCACCTTCTTGCTCTCTTTCCACCCAGAATGGGGTGGGAGCAGCAGGAGCTGGGGCTGGAAGGCTCCCAGGCAGCAGGATGCAGGCAAAGCTGTGCTGGTGGTGTGAAGGAAGGGGAGAAAATGGGTAACAAAGAGCAGCCTGGCAAGGATGATGTTTACTTGGTGAAATAACAATTTTAAAATTACCTCAGAACTGGCTTTCTCCACTTAAGATGGAAAACCCTCACTCCACGAGCAAAGGAAGTGAACAGCTGAAGAAAAACCAAAGGTAGGGAGAAGCCCACAGTGGGTAATGCCAACTCCAGGGTGACATTTGCCCTCTGAGAAGCCACCTCATGGCTCCTTTCTAACACTGCTAGGGTTGCATAAGGTCCCATCTTGAGGAGAGGCAGATCGATGCGTGTCTGTAACCAGGAGCTGTGTGGCCAACACACCATTCTCATACAGGAAGGGTCAGTGACAGGTAATAAACAGCTTTAAC